TAGGAAATAAGTACAAATCAAATAAGATCAGGAATAAATTTGTACACATATGGAACATGCAAAGACTGAAAATTTGTAATGATTTCCTGCATATCTACTTATAAGTAGTTATATGTAGTTATAAGATATAAGTGAATAAGTCACTGTTGTGTTTTTATTCTACCATGTGGTGCACTACCATGGCCAACCAGAAATCTGATGCTTTCATAATACGAAATTTGTAACTGGCTTGCAATTAAATAATTCAAAGTGATATTACATGATTATCAAAATACTGTAAATAGCAAAAAATAAAAATAGATACATGTGAAATGTTTGTGGCTTTACCAACTTCTCGAAAACATAATACAATGTACGAAAACATTCGGGATATTCGCAAAATATGCACGGAAAGAATTGATTTTATATACTAAAGATCAAAGATGTGTAGATAAATTTTTTCCAGTTTTATATATCGTACATTCTGCATAGTATGATACGTATATTAATTATGTACCAATAATTTAAAAAACGGGTATATTTTATTAAATTTTATCTCTACATTTATTTGTTGAATTAAAAATATCGCTTGGCACTTTTCCCGTGTCTTTACTTCCGTATCACTGTGTACAGCGTCGTTAAATACACCGATAATAGATTAAAGTCATACATATGTATCTTGTACGTGTAAATCAAAATTGATACAAGTATTGAGTTGATAAAAAATGATAAAAAACGAACAAAGATGGACGTTATGTTCATATTGCCTCGAAACGATGATTCAAGTATAATGCATGAGGCAATCAGTTTATCTTTATTGAATTCCTTTGTTAATAGGTTTCGTGACTTAGAGACATTTGCTATAAGTGAATCCGTTGCCCTTGTAAAAATTAATTATTTATGAAATTAATCTTTTTAATAAAATAATCGTATGGAAATTTTATATTATTTAAAATGAAATTTAATATTCTTAAAAAGTAAATATTTAGGAACTGAATCGTTTTGTGGAATATCATTTAATTAAGTCATGCATTTCGCGTGTTAATTTCACACACAATGATTATATGCATATGTGTGTTTAGTTAAAAGCGGAACAATCGAAATCATAAATTATTAAGATTCATGTTGATCAATACGCAAACAACATTCCATAATCGTTTACATAATTTACGACGTAAACATTTCCATAATATTATTTTACTGGCAAGAACGCATTTAAGGTCGTGCCCAGATTGGTGCAATAAACTGCGTAGCGCGGATGAACATGTATCAACACGTTTGTGGTTAATGTCCACATTGTTACTGTTAACGATGCTGTCGTGAAGTATTTAAAATAGCACACTTAGAAAAGACTCACGCTTGAATGCTTACGGTACATAGGAAAACATTGGACATTAGTTTGTGCAGATCTGAGAATAAATTAGGAGGTTATTCCAATTATTATAATGCATAATTATATTGTATTTCTCTACATACTCTATGCATATTGGCTTCCTTTCCTTTACGTTTCCTGTATTGGTGTATAAATATGTAGTATGTAAAAGAACTCAAATGTATAGTTCCACATCCTTTGTATTTATAAGCATCTGATATTACGCTGCTATTGTTTATGGAAAAAGTTAGAGTTTCGTATTTGACTTACATAATTTGTACCAAATTAGAAATCTCAATTCCGTTAGCATTTAAATTATTAGTCGTAACAAAATTTTAATTCTCATAGACAATTATCATGAAAGAAATTATCGAAACGTAAAAATTCATTTTAATTGTTGTTTTTGTTTTGATATTATGTATACTGTTCGATTTCCATAGAGACAAGATGGTGATTTTTAAATGAAATATAAGAAATACACGATAAAAAAAATGCAAGAATTGTATTTTTAAATATATCGCATATAAAGGTTTCGATGATATCGGAATAAATAAAAATGTATTTTTATCATTCGAATATTGTATTATCTGAAATTATCGACAGAGTGGTTAAAGTCTAAGTAATATCTATAATTGTAGATGGACAATCTGATATGAAGATTACATGTTGATGGTAATCTACTATTATTGCAATGTTTCCAAGTACTCAAAAATTTGTAAACGAATGAAACAAGAGTTTACAATTTTCTAATTGACGGATTCATTCAAAAACTTTGTTAGTACACCATATCAATGTTTGTAGTAGCGGGATTTCAACGTTCTTATCGAAAAGTAAACTAAGTAATTCCTTTCTGTTGCGGTAACATCCTTAGAGGATGTATCTAAAGTAAATAAAAGCATATTTGTTTTTATTGAAAGGCAATAACGACCCGTACGATAAAAGATAAAAGTGTCTGTTTGCATCCAAAAATTATTAAATTGTTTTTATAACATAGGTCGAAATCTATGAGATCGTAAAATGAACATCGATATTGATTAACTCTGTCAACATTGTTTTTATATTATGAATTACTTAAATATTATAAACCTATAGATTTGTTTTTCTTCATGTTAAAATGTTATGGAAATTAAACAATGAATTCGTAGTAAGAATGCTCGAAATTGTTTATAACCAGCGGCTTAAAAAAATGTTTTTCTTCGTATAGGGACATTAAGGGTCTTATTCAGCGTTCCCATTTACAGTATTTCGTGAAGGTAGGTTCTTTAATTGTGTAATAAATCTTAGATTTCAACTTGTACATTCTTATGGATTGCATATGTTTAATATATTTTTTATCGTGCTTTCTTGATCAATGGTACAATATGTTTGATACAATATATGTAGCCCTTGTAGAATGAGCATGGAAAACAGTATAGATTCAGCTGACAATTATCATTTCGATCAATTGTCTGTTTTTTTTTTTTTTTTTTTTTTTTTGGGTTTGTTTGTTTTCGAATAAATCGACATAAGGGATTTGCGTTGTCCTTTCAAGTTTGTATTGACATAATGGCACTTTGTATCTGTTTGTAATGTAAACGTCCTTTTTTAGTTTTTATGATTTCCATATTTCATTTGAAAATAAAAATTTGTTTTTTTTTTTAAAGATATGTTTCTTCAAGAGAAATCATTTATATGATACTTTTAACATGTGCATACAAGATGAGGCATTTTAAATTAGCATCATTTTAAAAGCAATTTAATATAATATATTGTAGTAATTAATTTTACTAATTTATTTTTCGTACCGAGCTCACCAACATCATTAATATAATTAATTCTTATAATTTTACATTAAAACGGAAATTATATTATATTTTCGAACGAATAGTTCATTAATAATTCAAGATGATAATTTCAGATGCTTTATCCTGTATATACTTTGTGGAAAATGTAATGTACAATATGGTCATAAAATGAGATGAAAACTAAAGCATATTTAAGTTCAGCAAAACACAGAGTCCAGAAACATTTTCTTGTGTAGTCGGTAGGACACCGACATAAAGCGAGGTCGTAAACTTGGTCAGGCGTCAATGTAAACATATTTTGAGTTTTTTTTTTTTAAATTGACAGAATATGAGATGGATTCGAATCCTCGGTCAGTTGAAGTATTAAAAATACTAATTATCATTTTCAATTTTTTCGATAGTACATAAGATACAGTTAATCATAAGTTGTCATCGTTTTATTTTACGAACCATAAAAAAGCATGCTGTTTACGGTCCTAGCTGCTTTAATTAACCCCACTTGATGCTTTAATTTATGACTTCGCTATATTTGTTCCATCGACTATACATGTTTTCAACAGTAAATCCGGTCTTGTGATAAATGTGAATATATTTTATGGTAGAAATATAGCAAGGTAGTTGATGGATGTATACCGTGAATGTAGTTGAGTAACGCAACTACTATGTAAAACGATACCCTTAATAGTACAAACCGCCAAATGTATTCAGCATTCATTACAAGGCCGGTTTAATGTTTAATAATGCCATTTAATTGTTAAAATTAAAAAAAAAAGATGTTCCTGGATTCTCAAAATATGAATTGATCACTATCTAAACAAAGTTTTTTCCAATTTTTGCAATATTACTATGATTTTATCACAGAATTTACATAAGTCTAAAATATAAATACAAGTCTGTATGTACTTATATTTGTTACGTGTATGCATAGATATTGAATGTAGATACATTTCTTAATCAATTTGATTTTTGTACAATTGAAGTGTATTAAAGTACTTTTGATAAGATAAACACATGAACAGTGTTTTTGCTTCTTTTTTTTTTTATAGTGAATAATATGTACCGTGAATTTATTTCGAAAAGTACGCGAAATTAAAAATTTGAAATTTGATTAAAAGAAAATAACTAAGAATTACAAAAATAGAAAACAGCAGATATGGTGGTGTCAAGAGTAACTTAATGTTGTTCGAGTTTCTTCAAACAAATTTTAAATATGATTTGCAACAGAAAAAAATAATC